TTCAATCTGTCAGTCTTAACAATGCAGTTGTGTAAGCCTCACTGCATAATTTAGATGTTTTGCATTTAAGACTGGCCCTTGGGCTTATTCCATATTCTCAAGTGCATAAGTCTCCTGTTGGCTTTGCTCTCGAAAAGGCAACTGGCCAAGCCATGGCACTGGAAGTAGCTGTTGAGCTGTATTGTCCGGGTTAGGGTTAATCACAGCAGCTTGCTTCTTTCAGTGCTGAATCATCAAGGGGAAAAAATGTAAGCTTGGCAGTAAAATATGTATGTGCTGCATTGTAGATTTTCAAGCTTGCCTTTGTAAATTAAAACCAGAAGCGTATATTGTAGAGAGGGCGCAGAAAGCCTGAAATGGCTTTTCGCCTCTTCAATAAGTTATTTTACCCATAATCTTAAATAGAAGCTGTGCCACTGAAAGGACTTTTGTAGCTCTGGTGGAATAGCTGGAGCACAAAAATAAACATTAAAAATTAAAAAGGCTGTTCAGGGTCAGGAAGAAAAAAGGTCTTTCTCTACCAACCTGTCCACGGATGGGACTGTAAGAGGAGGCGGCACTGTCTTCCTCTGAGCCCAGGGAAGCCTCTGCTCAAAAAACGGGAGAGGTTTAGGCTCTTTCAAGCACAGAAGCAGCAGCAACTGAAGCCTGCCAAGTTAATCTGGAGACCTGAGAAACTCTGTATTATCATTGCCTGTCATTATTCTTATCAAAAAGAGAAAGGGAGTGACTCTGGCAGTGCTGTAACTTCAACAAAACGAGCTGTAGCGAGTGGGGACGCAGAGTTGCTGGTCATTTCTGTGTGCAGGGACCCAGGAGCAGTGTGTGAAGCTCAGCTCAGGAGCCGACCTCAGAGGGTTTCCCACCGCCTGCTGTCCCGGCAGGCAGGCTCTGGCCCAGTTACGTGCATTCACAATAAGTACACACACTGGAGAATTATCTTTGGCCCTCATAGAGCCACACCCTCCAAAACATATGCAAGCATTGGCATTAGGAAACAGGAAAAATCCAAACACCACATCAGCACATATACACATGTGCTATAAAGCAAGGTTTGGTATAAACGAGACCTTTCCTCTCTCGCTTTTATGTATGTTAACTCCTCATAACCTGAAAGCTCAAGCTGCTTCACTCCTGGGTGTTTAGAGGACAGAGCTGTGGCTGGTGCAGGGATCATGTGGCAGCTTGCAGGGGACTGTGGCGGGGAGAGGTGCTACAATTTGGGCAGAGCTGGCGAAAGAAGCTGCACAGATGTGTCCGGCAGAGAGGGACAGGGAGAAGACAGCATGGTGTGCTGCAAAAATGTGAGGCTTAGGTTTCAGACCCAGGAGGAAGGAGTCAGTTTTGCTGCTAGTCAGCGAGTGAGCACTGAGTTTGTGAGGGACATCCTGGGACAAAAGTAGTGGAAAAGCTTTATCCTGTGTTGGAGAATCACCCCTGCTTACCACATACTGAGATGAACAACTTCAGTTGCCGTGGGAAAGGTCTATATGGATTTGGGTTCCTCGTCTGAAAAATAAATCCATCCCCTTCAGTCAGCATCTTTGTCAGTGAGTAACAGCCATGTTGCTTAGTAGATTGCCTCTCCCTACAAGTATGGTAAAAATAACAAAGTGTAGAAGCCAGGTAGCAGGCTGTCTGAAACCAGAGCTGTCTTTACCTCTCCTGTGCTAACATCTGCTCACAAAATTATCCAGTCCTCTTGTGAACCCAGCTACGGCATGTGACTTAGTGCGATGTCACATGTCTCTTCCATCAGCTATCCGTTGCTTCCCAACAACTCTCCTTCTGGCCAGCTGGGCAGGAAGAGGCATCTGCTAAACGCAGCAAGGCTGCCACTGCTCGGAGGAAGCAGCAGCACCATGCCCAGGCCCCGCCTGCTGCACTTTCCCTTTGGTTTCCTCTGCTTGTTCCAGCGTGTTGCTAGAATACCTTTTTTGCTCCAGCTGAATAAGCAGAATACCGAGGCACCACTAAGAATATGTTTGTGCCACGTATCAAACTGGCTGATGGCTATAGCACTCCTGCCCAGTCATAGCGGTCTGGGAGGTTGTGTGTGCCTCAGCTTTGCTACTTGGTCAGTGCGTGTCAGAGAGACAAACAAAAAAGTCATTGGTAGCTTGGTCACGGAGCCAGCAGGGGGAAAATGCCTCTTACCTTTGAGAAGATGTCAGCAGTTGTAGCAAGAACATTCGTACTCCCCAAACAAAGCCAGAAAGAACTGCATTCAGCATACGTGGCCCTCTAGTCTAAAATAATAGCTACAATACTGTCATTTTCTGAGGAAAAAAAAAGTGTCAGATATATCTTATCCACCCTTCAAGGTAATGAAGGGGATTCATTGCTAACGACCCTGCTAACAATGAGAGATGGTGTCCTCTGCTCATTGGGATGTGTCTGAACTCAAGCCAGTCCTGTCCACACCAAGTTTTCCCCTCTGTATGGAACATGTGGCTGGCTCCAGACTTGTGCCCGAGGCCTCACAAGTTGTTGTGAGTGTGATGGTGTTGGGGTATAAGACTATCCAGATTCAGGGAGGTAGTGACATCCGATTTTATCAGGAGGATTAATTACTGAAACTCTTACTAACAAGAGATCCCTCCTACCTCTTTCTTAGCTAGCATTGTGCCAGGTGCTATTCCTTGATTATCCCCAGATGTAAAACTACACGCAGGATCTGGCTGAGATGAAGCTTTTTTGGAAGTGTCTTGACCTTAATAGCTAATGTACTGAGGGAATTATGCCTAACTAAGGGAAATCCTATAGCGGAAGGCACTGTTGATGAACCAGGTATTGTTTATTGTTATTAGCATAATGTACCAAGCCAGGAAGGGAGTTTGTATGGATATAATTTTTTCCAGCTTGCTGCTTACCAGAACTTGCTGGTGTTCGAGATGGGCTGTTTCTGCTAGTTCTGTTCCTTCAATTATTTTATGAGGTAATGTGGCTCAATGACAATTCATAATACAGAACCAGACTAATTTCCAATGAAATGTCTCCTTCCACGATAAAATTCCAGGGTTAATTTTGTTCTCATTATAATGATTTTATTTTGGCTAGGGAATGATCGGCTCATTGGCAACACATCTGCAGATGATTACATTTAAACAAATATGCCGAGAGTAGAAGTTTAAACTTTCCTTAGTAGGAAAAAAAGTAAACATAATGAATTTGGTCTTACGAGGACAAATGTTCAATTCACTGAGCAAGAAGCTAGATGCCTGTCCCTGCCAGTGACAGTTAGAAGAAATAGCAACATAGATAGATCCCAAATATATTACAAGGAAAACAGACCTGTTGATGTTTAAAAAGCTTGCACATAGTGGCTTAGTTCCTATAAGGCACCAGTGAAAACAGCTCCAATACCTTGGCAGCAGTATTTTTCTTTAGTTGCCAGTATGGAGAAGGGCAGTATAGAATCACTGGCTACAGGAGCAAAAGAGGCCTCTCCTGGGTCATTAAACCTTATTCCTTCAAAATCAGGAGAGCTTCATCTATTTGCCCTAGTAAATAGAAAGCTAAGGGAATCTGATTGCTCTGTGCAAACACACGATGAAGGCAGGGAGCACAGAGAGCTATTTAAGCTAAAGGACAATGCTGGCACAACAACACATGGATCTAAACTGGCCACAAATACTTTTAGGCAGGAAATTAAAAGGCAATTTCTAGCCATTAGAGGAGAGAGCTTTTGGAAAAGCTTTCCTGTGAGAGTAGTTGGGGAGGGAAATAATTAGCTTTAAGATGTTATTAAAAGGATTATAAAATGCAGTAGCTAGAGATAGGATGAAGTAGGATGGGGAAGAAATACACCCCCTCGTATCCATGAAAGGCTCAATTGCTTTACAAGAAAGTTATGCACAGCATTATGTGGGACCAATAGATTCGTTAGGGGAATATCCATAAGGCATCTTGGTATGTACAGAAGGACTCACATGGACTTTTAGACTAAATCAGATTACTAAGGAGCTACATTTTCATTAGTGAAATTTCCTAGGCACCTAACTTACAGTTTTTAATCATGCCTAGAAATATTGTTAAGTTGTCAGGGCTGGGCAGCTCAACTTCTTTTTCAATCAGAGACCTGATTTCTTACATGACCACACTTCAGATATATTGTCAAGTCTTCCCTTTCTAAAGTGGGTCAGAGACTGACTGCTCAGTGTGCTTGCCTGGCCGTGCCCTGCAGCCAATCCCTGCAGTCTGTCCTGTCTTCTTGTTAAATTCTTTGCCTGGATGAGGATCTCTCTTCTTTTGTGTGTGGGTGAGGGTTATGGGGCTACCAGGTGCCAGCAACTGATGTGACACCATGGGTCTGAGGGGCTTCTGTGCCTGGGGTGCAGCAGCTGGAGGGACCAGAGTGCACATGCCTTGTGTGTGTATGTCAGTGTGTACAATTGCTAGCTAACACCAAGCTGGACCAGCAGTGGACAGGACAAAAGTTTTGGGAGCTGGGTATGTGAGCAGCTGTGACCCTGGAGTGGATATTGAAGAGACTGGAGGGTCCCAGAGTTGGCTACTGGAGGAATCAGGAGGTCCAAGCGAGCTATTGGGAAGACCACGCTGTCTGGGGCTTGGCTACCAGTGAGATCCTAGGTGTGGGCCAGCTACCAGAGAGACCAGCATATGTGTTATCATGGGAGGCAACTGGAAGATCTGGGGGCCAGCTACTGGTGTTCCAGTTTGTCTAAGCTGAGCTACTGGAGGGATCCACCTGTACTTCTTTGCCATCAAAAGTCTTTCATGCTGATTAGTCAGAAAGGGGAATGGGATGATGCTTTAGGTGCTGGTTGTGTTTGCCTGTACTGTGTTTTCTCTTTGTGTATATATGTAATGTGTGCTTGTTAGGAATATGTGCTTGTCCCTGGTATGACAGGGCCTCAGGACATAGAACTGCAGCAGCCTCTGTGGGGCTACCAGGTTGGACAATTCTGAACATGGAGGTCCCACAGATACCTGCTCCATAATGCTTTTTTTTTTTTTCCTCTTTATTTGCAGGTCAATGCCAAACTGTACAGAAAGGTATGATGTGACTTTCCTCACTGTCCTTGGAGAATCTCAAAACCTTAAGTATTTATTCATTATTTCCTGACAAGTTTTCTAATGTTGGTGTTATAGTAGGTCTTGTTCCTAGAGAGATGTTCTCTTTCTCACAAGGTAGGATTTTGCTCCTGTGACTTCTATTTGTTACCAGCCAGACACATTGACAAGAGAAGGAGGCTCAAACATAGGCCCATTACTGTAATAGCCAGTAATTTTATGAAGAGATATCTCTCTATTGCTCCCTTTTCACCTGTGAGTGGGTTTAAGGTATTACCAACATTTATCCTTCCTAAGATGTCTTAACCTGATTTCTTAAAATGTGTCAAGTTTATGAGAATATAGGTGTTAGCATATTTATGGGCTTCCTTGCCTGTGAGTCAAGCCCCAGAATAACTTTTGGTGTCGTTGGGCAATTTCAGTCAAACTTCACAGAGGGGCTGCAGTTTCAGAGATATTAAAGTCTTAAAAATTTGGTGGGGTCAAGAAAAGAAGAGAGGTATCTGACTGATACCTTCCCCACTAAAGAAAAAAATCCATATGATCTCACACCTCCTCAGTGAATCCACACTAAAAGGCAAGGACAGGGGAGATAATGATATCATAAATACACTTTATTCAGAAATCTGAGTTTTTCCCATGTTAGACGCCAGCATATTCACACCTCAAGAGGGGATTTTTCTCTCTTATGGATTCTCTTGTTTGTAATAATCTCAAACTGTATTCTTAATTGAAATCAGATAAGAGTCTCCTTCTCTGGAGACATTCAAAGCCCGCCTGGATGCATTCCTGTGTGATCTGATTTAGGTGTTCCTGCTCCGGCAGGGGGATTGGACTAGATGATCTTTTGAGGTCCTTTCCAATCTCTAACATTCTGTGATTCTGTGAAGATTTAATCGAGTATGAGACAGCCTTTCCTTTAGAAACCAGGCTTTATTAATTTTGGTGTTTTCCAAACTATTTGTTAAATGAACTCCCATGTGGCCCTGGAACTCCAGTGTTTTCTGGCCAGGGATTTTTCTTTTCATTGCTCTTGAGGCATTGAATTAACAAAATAAATCTTATTTTAGGAACGGTGCTTGTCAGTCAGATAGCCCCTCTTGCCCTGTCAAATTGTTAGATACCATTTGAACTCTGATGACATTTATTTGCATCAAACTGTTCACAATCAATCTCTGGTCTGAGCATACTTTCCATCAACTTTCTATAAGTGGTTTTAGACATCAGTTTCATTTGACAGTACTGCAAACTGCCTCCAATGAACAAAATAAATAAGTTCATTGAATGTGTTATTTCTTGTGTTGCCTTTGAACTATTCAGGGTGTCAGTGAAGCAAGTTATTTTTCACATGTTCATCTCCTTTTCATAGCAAAATGCGTGGACATTACCTTAAGTTCTTGTACTGATGTTGCCTATACTCAAACGATGTATCCTAATTTTCTGGATCAGAAGTCTCGAGAAGTGATTGAGTACAGCTCCGAGTACATCCTCATCAGCGTGCTGCACAACTTGCTCCAGGGAGAATGCAATCCGGACCTGAGGCTCCTGGGCTGCTCGGTGCTGGCCCCGCAGTGCGAAAAGGACAAAGCTATAAAGCCTTGCAGGCATGTCTGTGAAAACCTGAAAAAAAATTGCCTCCCTGCCTTTGATGCAATAGACATGGCTTGGCCCTACTTCTTAGACTGCGACCGCTTTTTCGCTGGGGAAGAAGAGGGATGTTTTGACCCTCTGGCAAAGCTGCGAGGTAAGGAAGGAAGCTTTGCTGACACATCTTAGGTGTCTAGGTGGGAAGGGTCTCATCTTACTCAGCTTGACGTGTCTATGGTACAAAACCTCTCTGCTTGTCGTCTCAGCTTGTAGCCTTCATAGACACCTGCAAGATGTGATTCATTTTGCTCCATCTACTTTGAACACTTAAACTCTGCTCAAGAAACATCTGTTTCTTTCCATCATATACAAAGAGCAGCAAGACAGGCAGCTCATAGCTAGATGTCTGGACTGCCAATGTGCATAGATAAGCCCTGCCCTGTGTGACAGCTGTCTGTATATTTGAAATATTTAATTGAAAAACTGAAACTTTAATGCACTCATAAATTCATGACTACTTGACAGGCTTAACAGCTCATTAAAATAATCTAATTAATGATTGTCACAGATTTTTGTTTGGATGAAGAAGATCCAGATAGCTGAAGACAGATGAATCTCATAAAACACGAATTTGATCTACCAGATTAAAAAAATCTGTACGTTTTGTGACTAAAATGTGCTAAGCATGACAAAGGCCAAATTATAACTGGAGGTCGCATAAAGTATTTGCCAGTGTATATATGCATTAGTATGATTTTGCAAACAAAATATGCCACAATAAACAGTGTAGGAGGTACTACGTAGATTTAAGGGTTTGATTGTGCTGTCTTTTCTATAATTCCACTACTTAAAATGATATTTTGCAGAAAAGTACAGACATTCATACAATCCTCTGAGCACCATAGTTTTAAACACTGTGTTACAATTTTTCTTTGCAGGAGAAGTAGAAATTGAGGAAGATTTGCCTTCAGACTTGCCAGCAACTTTTATTCAGTTCAAACACCATTCATATTCCCAAATGGTGAGCACGTTGAAGAAGACTGCTTCTAAGTGCTCCCATATTGCAACAACTTACAGCATAGGTCGCAGCTTTGAAGGGAAGGATCTTTTTGTGATTGAGTTCTCAACCAAGCCTGGACACCATGAACTGCGTGAGTCTTATCAGTGTTGGATCAGGTTGCCTGAGGGGAGTCCAGATTATTACAGTGAAAACAGGTCCTTTCAATGTGGTATCACTTAAACTGTAAAAAGTGTTGATTAAAAAACATTTCTCTTCCTTTCTGTTCCTGAATTACAGCGATAGCTGATGATTCACTGTAGCAATTACAGTCCAGTTGCAATTTCCTAACTATGATCTCCGCTTATGACCAAGGTTGACATTCCTTGTCCCTAGATGTATCACCGTGTACTTGGTTGCAGTGATATGGCTGTTTTTCATTTGTGCCCAGTGTACAAAGAAGTTGGGATAGTTTTCTGTTACTGACCTGCCCTCTCTGTCATCTACCACTTCCTCAGTCTACTTTTATTTATCACTGTACCATCAAACCCTACACATTTCCTTCAGGTAATGCTTGTCCCTAGTCTAAACATAGTTCTTCACATCCTAAAATAAACACAACTTGTGAGAAGGCCTCAGATACAGCAGGACATTGACGTCAAAAAAGGGCAATGCAGCACAGAAAACAATCCTGCTGAAAATCATGTCAGTGCAATGCCTGTCAGTGTAACAGGTGGATGATGCCAGGAATTTATGTTATCACAGTGCCTGAACACCTTTGGGATGAGTCCTCGGAACTTTTCTGCAAAGGGGAACATAGCTGATCTCTATTTTCTAGATTCATCACTGAGACAGCAAGGGCCAGATTTTTAATTCTTCAAAATGCAGATAATTTTTTTGGGGGGCAGCATTAGGTATTATTTTCTAGTTACCAGCTCCCAGCTCAAATATAGTACCTGACTGGTGCTGCTATAGACACTGCTGCATACCAAGAACGTCAGGTTCTTGGTATCAGACTAGCTCAGCATCAAAGCAGCCTCAGTGGTGTAGCAGAACTGAACCACATCTGACTTAATACTTTGTTGAGATTATCATCAAGCTACTGTGTCCTCTCTGTGCTATGCTGCAGGGGGAACAAAGACAGAGAAGACTAATATGAGCTTTATTTACTGTCAGCCACGCTGCCTTGCACGGTGTAGAGGTATTTGAGGTGCCTTGGTCAAGATCCCAGTAGACGTCTAACAGAGCAAAGATATACATTATTGTTTCCTGGCCTATTATCCTTCCTCTCTTGTGTAAAGAAAATAAGTTGCACTTGTCTTTTTAGGCTGATACTCCATTTGCCAGGAAAACACAAAGCCTATGAATCAGGCTTTTAAATTAGAACTGCGATATGGCATGATAAAAGATGGTAGTTTAACGTGGTACCTTGCATTTCCTTCTAAATCTGTTAGTTCATGCTGCTCAGAACAGCATAAAAGAGGGTGGAAATAGCTCTAGAGATGGAGATTTTGCCAGCCTGAGCAAACTGGCCTAATAGCTCTGTGCCAGCCCTCTTCCAGTGTCTAGTGCTTGAGGCTGGCCAAGATCAAAGATGAAGATGAAGGGCTAGACAGGGAAGAGTGTCTCCCAAGAAAAAAATACTTCCATTAGTCTCTAAGGAAGGATGGAAATTGAGAGAATAACTGTGGGGAATTGTGAAGTTATATGTTTCTAATAGTCTTATTCCAAGGCTATTTAGCCTAAAAGGCACTTTTTATGCACGACCTAATTTCTGTTCCAAATAGAGGGGTAATATATTATACATCTGCAGGTTGTTTCTAGTATCTATGACAATATAAGGCATTGAAGGCGCCCAAGGTAAGTGAGAGTGCCAGGAGTGTATTTTGTTCTTTCCCAGCCATGGTTTGACATTTTTGTTTACAGCCCTTTTGTTCACAATTAATGATGAGTCCAGGAAAAGCTCAGAGCAATGATTGCCTCTTGGCATCTTGAAAGTATGGACTTACTTTATTTCACACAATTTAAATTGTTGCTGAACTGACTTGGAATGGAGGGAAATTCACCTGGAACTGGTGTGCTATTTACAGGAATGTATGTATGCATTAGATTACTGTAAATAAAACTTTCTGACTCATCAGTAAGCTGTTTGCGTCACTCTGCTTTTGGAAGCCATCAAGGTATAATCAAATTAAAGCATCTCATTACTTTATATTTCACAGTCAAGCCAGAATTTAAGTACATTGGCAATATGCATGGAAATGAAGTTGTGGGGAAAGAACTGCTAATATACCTCGCACAGTATCTGTGTTCAGAGTATCTTCTCGGGAACCCTCGCATTCAGACCTTGATTAATAATACCAGAATTCATCTCCTGCCTTCACTCAACCCTGATGGGTATGAACTGGCTGCAGAAGAGGTAAAAGACTTTTTATAAATAAATGTTCAGGTCTTCATGTTTCTAAAATTCTCCATGGGAAAGGACAAACTGGGAGGAAAGTGTTGTGTATGGGAGGGAGCGTTAGTAATTGGCAGCCAGAATCTCAGGCTGGTTTGGTGGTAGGTTGCTTTCCAAAGATTATGTGAACAGAGCTAAGAGGAAGTCAGAGCTACATTTGTCAGTTTTGCTGCCTGCATGCAATGATGTGGGAATGACTGTGTGACTTTTTCACACATTTAGCACTCTCTGCTCTCAGTTCTAGAACAAAATGCCCACTGACTCACTGTAATGACTGTTATTTTATAAGGGAATGTAGCTTAATTCTGTGGAATAGATGTTCTTCTTCTTTTGGTAGAGCAGGTGTAATAAAATGTGAATGTTTTCTATACTGTCATGCTTTCCTAAAGGTTGTCAGTTTTCAGAGATCAGCTGGCATCTGAAGGAGACCTGTGAGAGCAAAATTCCTGTTAGATGTTAGCTGGCATTCTGCTTTTCACCTCACTTTTATTGCTAGCACCATTAGCATGAAAATAGGACCTTTCTTTTTCAGCGTTGCTCATGTGGCCACCTCTGTCTGTTGCATGAGTCTGGGGTTATTGCATTCTGCCTGATCCTGTCTTGGAGCATCAGCTGTATTTTCTTTTTCTGCTGCTCTAACCCACTCTGCATGCTGCTCTGTGCTGAGTAAGAAGGTGCTGTGTTCCTCTCATGAGTCACACCACTGGTGAGTGAAATGCTTCCTGCATGCTAGTTAGTGGGCTAGTGTTCTTGGGGATAAACGGTGATTAATGCGTCATTTTTTAAAGGTACAGACATTTTCAATTTACTTCTTTTAAAATGTCCCCTTGATTAAAATGGCATTTTAAACATTTTCCACAAAGTGATATTTTGAGACAAGAAGTTATTCTGAGGTTGGCTTCTATGTTACAAAAATTAGGGAGCTGGTTACAACGGATGGGTCGTTGGACGACAGACAGCTCAGAACTTGGACCTGAACAGAAATTTTCCTGATTTGACATCTGAGGCTTACAGAAGAGCTGGGATTCGAGGGGCCCGCCTTGACCACATCCCCATTCCGCAATCCTACTGGTGGGGTAAGGTATGAATTACAGATTTTATAAATCATATATACTACAGAGAAACCCAGGAATTAAGAACCTGAGATTGCTTGGTCTGAAGTTATTCTCTGGTAATCAGGTTTTATAAGTAGGAATAAACTGGACAGGCTCAGAATTGGCATGAAAAATCCTGGTGTAGCCCTGGCCAAAGAAGCAGGTGTCACAAATCATTGAGAAAATATATGGATAATTTGGATTTTTCTATTTTAGATTAAGAATAATTACTTTTAGGAGGGGTCACAAGTGTGTAATGATTCATCATAAATGATTTAAACTGCAGTAGTATGTTAAAAGACTTTATGGACTTGGCTCTCATTCCACTAAGCTCTGCACAGGTTTGATGCAATAGCGGTTTCTGCCTTGGAAAACATACAAAGGCTTCATGTGAAGTTGTGTAGCATCAACTTTCCACAAAAAAGATGTTTATAAATGACAGTAACCAGCTGGAGCAATTGAGACAGCCTGTCACGCGGCAGTGGTGCTGGAAGTGAGAGCTGCTGTTGCCTCCAGCCCCAGGGAGCGGGACGGAGGCAGCACTGCGGGGCCTCACACTCATCATCACTGATCTTCACATTATGTGATGTCCAGGAATGCAAAGCTCCATCCTATCTGTGACGCTGACAGTCTGGCAGACCTTGATGGTGGCAACTTGCATGAGAACTTTGTTCCCCTAAATGAAGAAACACAGAAAGCTTAATCAGTAGTTCTGGTGTTGGAAGCTCCACTTTTCTTCTGCTTTTAAACTCATTTTATTCCAGTTCAATTTTTATTCCTCGCACAAAGCCTCAGATAAGTGGGGAACAGGATTGTTTCAGCAGCTCATGTATTAGCAGGGGATTTGAGAGACCATATTTCAGGTTTCTACTCTGCTGCAAGTGATCTCGTAGAGGGCCAGTTCTAAATCCCAGAGGCATCTCTATGCTGCCCCAGTGCTTTGGTACCCCATTTCACAGTAGTGAGATTTGGATAAAAGCATCTCCCTTTCTCAGGATAATGTGCATACGAAGATGCAAGGCTGTGAAAAGCTCAGTAATGCATATTATATTAGATCACTGATTTCCAACGTAACAGAGCTCAAGAAGCTTATTCTGTTTTATGCATGTAATTGTACAGATCTCTGCTCATGTCACTAGGTTTCTACATGAGTATAAGGTCAAAGGCTTAACAATTTTGAACTTTTGACTGATTAATGAAAGATAACAGTGAGCTGGTAAATGCAAGCAGAGTGTAGAACCTCAGATGGGAAAGAAGGGTTGAGAGCATGTGGAGCAGAGCCTGAGGTCAAACGAAAACAGTTGAAAAAGAAGGGGACTGCAGGAAAAAAGACTAGAGAGAGAATAGTTTTAGTTCATCCCATTTGAGCATAGTAGCTTTCATGGCTGCAGATCTAAGAACCATGTGTAGCTATCAAACTAAAATTTTTATTTGGCAAATGAATGGTGTATGAACAAATATGAAGACTCTCAGGAGCAGGGTTAGGCCCAGCCTTCACATACCTGGGTGAAACTACATTGTTTGCAGAGGGGACCTGAGCACTGCAGGTGTGAGCTCTGAGCTGGATGCACTACGGTGTCTTACATGGTTTTCCAGTGGGTTTGCTTTCCCACGTAGGACCAAGGCTTGGAGCCATCCCTGTTCTCTTTTTAGGAAACTCTGTTCCTCAGCCTCTAAAGCCTGGACTTTGACGGGAGATGCCTGTGTTTCACAGCAATTCTCTGAAGATGGCTCACTTTCATTCAGTATCTGTCATCCTGTTGCCGTAGGGTGAAACCAGATTACTCAGTCAGGAACCTGCCAGCTTTTGTAACATAAAGTAATGTTTACTCAGAAGAACATACTGAATCAAAAATATAGAATGAAACATTACAGGTCATTACAAACATACATAGATATATATATATATATTTCTAGTTTACTGGGAGTCACTGTGCTTTTTCAGATGCTCTCGCAGAGCCCATCTCTCTTGGTCACAGCTTCTCACTGGGTTCCTAATTTGAGAGCAAGTGTTGTCTTGCTCTCAAACCTGCCAAGGCTGGCCATTCATCTCAATTGCAGGTCTGTTACCTGCCAGGCTTTTGGACCCACATCAATGTGTGTACTGACCTGGGGGAGATGCTTACAGGGAGAGGTTCCCTGTCTTTAGAACACTAACTTGCAGCCACTTACTTTGGTTCTTGCCAAGGCTGTATAGCTCAGCCACTAAGCACTGCCACCAGCCTATCCACAAAGATGTGGCTGATGAGTCCAACTGTGTCTGCAATGTCTCCCTTACCAGACGGAGCGCTTTTTTTGCATGCCCCTTTGCAGAATCAGCAGTGAGGGTGCCAGTCTCCTGGGAGCCCTTTCATGGGCTGTGTTGTCCCCTGAGATACATGCAGACAGGCTGGAGGAGTGCCTGGCACACCTAAAAAAGCCACTGAAAAAGCTTTTGTTTTTCTGTGGAGGTGCCCAGGAGAGCTGCTTTTGCCCTTTGGGACTGGACATAGTGGCTGTGCAGCATAGTTTGAAGCATGAAGAAAAGGATGGAGATCTCCCTCCAGCCCTGTGTTCACTCTCTCTCCGCATCTCTCTGCTTTGGCCCCTCTTTGTGCCAGTAGCTGGTGCAAGCTGTGTGCTTGTCCCACGCTGTGCAGCCCAGAATCCCTGTAACTCTCTAGATTTTCTGTCTCTAACCTCCCTGCTTCCTCCTCCAAATCCTGTTTCTGCCCTGGTCCTTCTGAGGATCTTTGGGACAGTCAGTGGTAGGGAGCCACTTCCAGAACCATGTATCTAACTTTCTTAGATGCTGTGTAACATCAGGGAAGTTATACAGAGGGCTGGATGGAAACAACCCAACATTTCTCCCACAGTTACCCCCACTGCTGCGGCCAGCTCTGACCCAGTTGCAGCATGCTGGTCACCCTGGGGTGTCTGTCACCACAGACATGGGACCAAAAGCATTGGCACACAACCACCCTCTGCCTCAGAGAGTGCAGACCCAGCATTATGGATAAATCCCTTCTCCTGAAAATCTTTTCTTGTTTTTGAAGAAGAAATTGAAATGAGGTGATGACCCACTGATTCGTTTCTCACAGCACCAGACCTCAGGGAACCTCTAGATGCTCCCCTGACCCCAAAGTAGGTCCTGACCTAAACAACACTCAAAGCATCTACAAATCTATGTGCTTTGCAGAACAAATGAGGGAACCAATTTGCCTGTGACCTCAATGGCACCACAAAATCTCCTTGACAACTGCAATTTCACATGGTTCAGAAACCTGGCAGTAAGTGGTCTCACAGCCCTGAGTCCCTCTCCTCTGCCGGTGGTATCACAGGACAGCCAACATAATGAGCTTCAATTTTGTCAGGCAGATGAACCCACAGCTCTCACAGTAGTTGGCTTTGTGTATGCAAAAGCATTAGATTGGATGTTTCAACACCAGCCTCTCAGCTTTCATTTACCTAATAGTGTTTATTACCTGCCTTATTAAAGTAATTATCTGAGTATTGCAGGACATTGTATAAAGATCAGAAAATGGAAAGCGAGATCCCAGCCAATCCCACAAACTCAGGAGAGCTCCTGCCTCCCCATAACCCTTGCTGTACAGTGCATTTTGTTCCCCACTAGTTTGAATTGTTGTAATAAGTGGTCTGAGGGCTCAGACTGAGAGACTTCAGGCTTCATCTGAAATGAAGTCAGTTAAATTGGCTTGATTCAAACTGAATTTGGAAGTCTGTGCCAGTAGAGGCTGGTATAGTCTTTAGGAAAATGAGTCTGATTGCTTCTAAAAGGGAAAAAAGAAATCTTTGAAAGCCATGGAGACAGTGACTAATTGCAGTATAATTGACAAAAATGAGATTCAGGTTTAAAGCAGGGTAGTGGCCATTCCCTGTATTTGTGCAGAAATAATTTATCTGTTTTCTCATCGTGCCCCAAATTGTTCTTCTGAGACGGATACTTTAAAATCGATGTCCTCTAACTAAAAAGGAAGAGCCCTGGTGAAAAAAAAAAAAAAAATCAAAACCCACAAAACCCACATTAAAGGAAAAGTCTATGAATAGTCAAAGGCCAGAGTGACACAGATAGCATCTGATATCATCCGGTGGAGCTGAACCAGGATGTGCACATTTCAAAGCCTTAATCACTGTACATGATGTCACTGAAGTGCTATTAGGATAAAAATAGTGACACTGAAATTCCTGATTTTCCACAACATTCACTTCAATAAGACGTTAGCTCTGTGACACGGCGGTGTGTTGTGGGTTGTGCAGGTACCTAGTGAGCAAGTTGGCTAATCAGTGGGAGGGACTGAATTTAGGAGCTTTCTGAGTAAAACTGTGCATTTCACCCTTGTCCACTGAATTGCAGAAGCAACTTTAAAATCTTCTTAACAAGGTATGAGACCCCTGTCTGAAAGCAGGGCTGATTCTGGCATCAGGCACACCCTCTCTGTCCGGACAGCAGGAGCTGGGGCAGCTGCAGGCAGGGCAGGGAGCTGCTGAGAGTCTGGGGCATCATCCTCCTGGGCAACACTGGTCCAGCAGGGCTTGGAGGATGCAGGCTTGTTGCCAGCTTCTCAGCCACCCCGTGAACCCCCATGCAGGGGACCGTGGGGCAGGCAGTGCCACTCACAGCCTCTTACAACTCACCCGGGCTCTTCTGCTCTTAGGAAGAGATGGGCTTAAAGGATGAACAAAGTGCTTTCAGGCTTCAGCCGAGAGTGGCTGATTCACTCCCAAATTCCCTCGGGATTAAGATTGTTATCAGATCATCCCAGGGCTCTGTGCAAAGACCAGAAAGGCAAATACTTTGACGTCTGTCAGCACTCTTTGGACACTGCCAGATTCCTTGTCACAAAGCCTGGTGGGCTGTTTTCTTCTCTCACCTCTGTGTTGTGTGCGTGGGTGTGTGAGACTTCAGAAAGTGCAGAACGTTTGTCCTTTCCTTTCTGAGTGCCCTTTATCTGCCCTTTTAAAAAATGTTTTCCAGGTCATGCCCCTCCTGGAAACTGTGTCTAATATTCCCAAATATACAAAAAACCCTTGTTTGGGTTTTCGGTGTACAAAGTGTATTCTGTGCGTTCCTGAGTTGCTCAGGCTTTACCTGTCACATCTCTTCCTATGTTTAAGTTGCATCTTTATAATACCAAAGTTGAAAGAGTTGTAACACAGAGATTCAGAGGCTACCACTAGGTTAACAGATAAAATGGACCTGGCCTGTTTCTCCTAAGGACAAGTGGCAGAATCTAACTTGTGTCCATATACTAACCACAAAGTACTGATTTAATGATTCACCTTACAGCAGTGGGAACCCTCAGGTTCCTGTTTCTTCCCAAGTAAAAGGTGCAGCCTTTTTCAATAGCACAGATGCTGTAGCTGGAGGCACTAGTTCGGCTCAATGACTACGGAATGGCATTTTAAGGAAACCTGAAAACTAGGAGGACTCAGTTAATAACTACAGCATCTGAAAGGAGGTAGCCTCCTGCCTAGGTCAGGAATGGGCAGGGTGATATCTTCTTAAATCATCCCAGGCAAAACTGTATTTAGACATGGCTTTTTCCTGAGACCCTTTGCTTTCTACCTCACTGCTGGAAGCTGTAATACATCCAGGGTGCACCTTTGCTTCACAGTGTTTTTCTCTGCTCCACACCTAAGTCTGTGGTACCCCCCATATCCCCAAAGCTGTGGTTTACCAATAGGAGAACAGGGACTGACCCAAAGAAAACAGAAATTGCTATTATTGCAACCCTAATGTATGGGTCTTTAGGTTTGTTGTTTGGCTGGTTTGCTTTTTGTTTTGCTTTATTTTGTTTGTTTTGTGGGGTTTTTTCCCTGGACATTGCTGACTTGATTCACTGTTACTAGTCATTAGCCACTCTGGGGTCCTGGCTGGATGATTTTCTGACAGTGGACAGAATCAAAGCAAAGGTTAATATGCAATGTTAGCAGCCCCATATAGATGCTGGACTAGGTCCCTCATAGCAGATCTTGCTCATTTTCTTAAAACCTCTCTATCTGCACCTATGCAAAGCAGAGTCTAGATCAGCAGCCTCTGCCCTCGCCCACTTTTCCCTTCCTAACTTCAGAAGCTGCAAGAAAAAGAATCTCACCTCCTGCAAGAGCTCTGGAGTCTGTCTGGGCATGCAGGGACTGGCCACCAGATGACACTGTTATCCCTAAGAATTAACACTCGAGCAGGTCCGTGAAATTACTCCTCAGAAAAAGGGAAAGAAGCCTCTTTCGTGTCCGGAGGAGACGGGTGTCTGAGCATCTCTGGGAATCCGGTGCCCACTCCCTTGGCCACTGTTACTGGGCATGGACTGTCAGAAAGACAGACTTTGTGACTTATTTGCAGCAGTTCACTGCAGGTAAACTGCAGTCATTGCTGTGCTTTATATGCATTAGTTTTCAATTATTTGCAGATGAACCCAGACCGAAGCATAGCAAATGAGACAATGAATTTCCAGCAAGTGCTGAGAATTACAAATAGATCCCCGTATTCCAGTTTATCCATACAAAGTCCATTTTGCTGATTCAGAAACGAAATTAGATAAGGAGTTTGTTTTGCAAGTAGTGGTACGATGCCACATTTTTTCAAGCCTAAAATGCTGCTGTGATCACTTTGAACTGCTGAAAACATCACTGTAATACAAAGTTATTCTTCTGTTTCTCCTCTTTTTTTTCTTTTTTTTTTAGTTTTTCCAAAGTGAACAATGTGTCTCATCTGTTCCATGGAGCAAGCTGATGTTCTTCCCCCATTAACCTTTGGGATGGAAGAGCCAAAGAGCCTCAGCATTCTGCTTTCTGACACACTCCCTTCTCTGCTGGGCTTCCTCCTGCCCAGACTCAAATCCCTTCCAAGCTGCATGACTACCCACGTAGTTTTTTTTTCTGCTGGATTTCAGGTGGCCCCTGAGACGAAAGCAGTCATGAAGTGGTTGAGGTCTATCCCATTTGTGCTGTCTGCCAGCCTCCACGGGGGTGAGCTGGTTGTCACCTATCCTTATGACTATTCAAGGCATCCTATGGAAGAAAAGATGTTCTCCCCTACACCTGATGAGAAGGTAATGTTGTTTCCACAGAGGGAGCATATTGGTATGGTTTCCACCTGTGGAACTATGGAAACTTTTTCTTTTACAAGTAACAAATATCAATTTATTTAGATTGTATACATGTGTGCATATGTACGTATGTATTAAATATGTAATAAATCACACGTTTATGTATATAATGCATGTATATATATTAAAAATATTATGTATAAACTCATTTATGTGCTTTAAAATATAGGACCATATACACACTGTCAACTTGATCTTTAAAGATTTATCCATGTTTCGTGAAGCCAAACGTAATTTCATAAGGCACAGGTTAGGAAAAGCCAGGCTTTCACTATTTAAAGGGTATAGGCTGTGATATTTTTACCACTGATTTCCAGAAGAAAAGGAACCCTGACCAGCAGTATTACTTTCTTTTGAAAGCTATAAGGGAAACAAAAAAGGCTTGCTGCCATGTGGTGGCAGCCTTGTAACATTTATTCCCGGTCAGATGAACTGGGATGGTTTTCCTCTCTCGTCCCTGGAAAGCTTCCCATTTGGGATTCACTGTAAATCTTCTGTGAAATTCTTTGCCATCTTTCGTATTTCCTTTTGATTTCCTCAATCTACTATTCATTGCCGACATGCCCACTAGGACAGCAGCTTGTTTTTCCATCTTCTAGCATATGTCCCTGGCCTCTTAAGAGAAAGTGGTTCTTCACATAACAAACAGCAGTTAAAAATAGTCAGAAGTTGATGTTTGACTTGAAGCTTCCCTTATCTTTGAGTATATATCTCTGGGCTGACTTCTTCTAAAGAAGCAACAGCTCTCACCAGTGCATATTAAATATTTAAATATTCATGACTATTAAACATTTTCTGTATCAATCTGTTTCTTCTGAGCTGTACGACACCTACTGACTGTGCATGTATGACATTGATTTATCAGTAAAACAAACCAGGCACTGCACAGAAAAAAAGCCCATGTAAGAAATATCCAGTCGATGATAACGAAGCTAGAGAAGCTCTTGGTGAGGACTAGGGGAAATCATAAACCTCTGCACTTATATCCCGTTGCCTGGGCTATGGGTATCCTGATTCATGCATAGATGGTGGAGGGATACGGCCATGTGTGCCTTAGGAAGCAGTTCATCTGTGGAAGGGAGGGAGAGCAGCCCCTCCATCGTTTCCAGTCAGGGACAGCATGTGAGTTTTGAGTGAGACGATGCAGACTCATGTACAAAGTGCTCCATCCCAATGCAGTGCCCAGCTAGGCAAGTCCTAGTGGCATCCATGGTTTATGACAGTGTAAGACAGAGGACCTTGTGCCAGTGGCTGCAAAGCCTGGGAAGTTAGCTACAAACTTGGAAGTTTAAAACACACATGGGACGGCTGGAGATGTCCTCAACTAAAACTAATTTTTCAATGTGTCAGCACAGGAACTTTAATAACACTATCAGTATCACTTTAAATTTTGCATCTGGATCAGCCCACTTAATCCAGAACTTTCCCATTTTTTGGCTTTTGTAGAGATGGATGTTTTTAGTAGGCTCTTGTTCCTCTGTGTTACACAAGAAGCTGCATGGATGCCTGTGCTCACTGGAGCAGAAAGGTGCACACCAAGTCAAGTTCACTCTGGTGAATGGGAACACTCCCTTCCCTCCCCCAGAAAAATCCACCCTGTGACAGTCAGCAGGGTAAAAGTACTGGCCAAGGTAACAGCACTGACCTCATTTTACCAAACAAAGCACCATGCTTCCAAAATTACAAAGATTCCTCTTTATTCCACTGTATTACACTTAAATGTCTCAGGTTTTTTGAGGTCCATAACTAGTCGTACATTAGCTGCTAGATAATAGTAAATGTATTGCTATCTGAGCACATTTTATCTTTTTTTTTTAATTTAAAAAAGTTTAACCTTTGTTTTTTCAAGTCACATTCACTTGATTTGGGATTTCTCATTGCCACCCATCCTCATTCCCTTGCACTAGTGGCCAGGCAAAAGCCTTATGCCTCTTGGTGTGAAACAAGAGAAGAAATACTTGGTCACTGGAAGTAAAACATCTGCAGATGTCTTTGGGAAAGGTGAGGAACACACTGCTAAGTCACAGAGGCAGCTTCTAAACTTTTAGCATGTATCTTCCACAGGAGATTTACTGTAGAAATTAAAGATATTGGGCCTGGCCCCAAGCTATTGTCAGTAAAGGTTCTTCTTAACATATTTAATTAACATCCATTTCTTTCCATTAGAACTTTGAGGGAGACTTAATTGTCAGGGATAAACAACACTTAGACACAACAAAAACTCAAGGGAGATATAAAAGTGTTTTATATTGTCCGGATTTTTAGTGTCTGGTAATTAGAAGTATTTTGGTAAATTTTCTTTACGTTAACGTTAACGCTCTCTTTCCACCTTCCTGGGTCACCTACCGGATCCCATAATTGTCTCAGCCTTGTGATTATTGGAAACTTTCATAAATATTAGATCAAAGTTGTGTGCCTGGTCATTTTGGTCTTTATCCTTGGTGACAACATAAAGGATGAAGTTTTCAGATCATTTCTAAAACCAGGATTTTAACTACCCAACTTCTTGCACATGTTGTCTTAAGAAATGTGCAATGAAACTCATGATGCTGAGTAGTAGGATCTAATAGCATCTGTTGATTACTGTCCTTTCAATGTTGAAAGCTGAAATTATAGCTTTTGTAGATGAGGTTCAAATGAAGAAAAAGGAGAGGAGGGATTTCTGTACAAAGTTCGAATAAACACTTGATAAAAATGGCAGAAACCTGATTCAAATAAATGGTTTCCGCAGATTACTGCTGTTTCTTCTGTCTCCACTACATGTACCTGTCACTTTTTCTTTCTGGGTGGCAACTCCTCTGCTCTTCATCAGTATCAACACTCTTAGGAAATTGGTGGTGACATCCTCCATCACCACATCCTAGCATTGGCTTTTTAAGAATGGTTTCTGCCCCACAAAGAAGCAACTGTCGTTAAGATCAAACTGTCAGGTTGTCCTGTGTGAGTGATAAGTGCAAAGCAAATTGACACTGTCTATTTTAAACAGCAGCAGCCAATGCAAAGATCTGGTTGGGCTGAGGCTGGTGTAGGTATTTTTGAAAGGGTAAAAATAGCAAGAGCAAAAACATAACAGGGAGAGCTAATTTCATCTTTAAAACCTGGTACTTGAACTACAACCAAACAAGCCCTCTACTCCTGCCCCAGGTGACAGGTGGAAGCTAACTATCACAAAATCCACTGGTGTTTAATGTTGTCTCTGGCTAAACATATTGGATTGCAGAGAAGGACCTTGGAGAAGAAGACAAGTGAAAACTTCCTGGCAGAATATCTTTGCATGGAGGTCCACCCCCTCCATCAGCCTCAAGGGTGCAGGGTGGCTCTGGGCTCACAATGGCAATAGTAGTTAGCAGCAATGACAGTGTCTACAGTTTGTAAAAGCAAATTTATTTCAAACCCTTTTGTTACAGATGTTTAAATTGCTGGCTAAAGCCTACGCAGAAGCACATCCAGTCATCTCGGACCGATCCGAACATCGTTGCGGTGGAAATTTTGTAAAAAGCGGAGGTATTATAAATGGTGCTGAGTGGTACAGCTTCACTGGAGGTAAAACCACTTTATCATCATATCAAGTGAGGTAAAACCTCTATATGACCTTTATGAGACACAAGGGTCTGAAAGAAACAGTTTTATTCTTTTTAGTTTTCTTTAGGTCAGACTCCTGCAAAATGTAACTGGAAACGGATTTAAGTAGCAAAATGTATGTTGGTAACATTTATATTCAGAAACCATGGGTTGTATTCAGCCCTGATATGACCTGAGGAAAGTTAAGAAGTTGTATAAAGGTCAAATTTGTTATTGCATATAATATATCCTAGTTTTCAAACCTGAAATGGAGAAATAAATGCTTAATGTTATGCTTTCATTCCTTAGTGTCATGAATTCGAATCCGTCTTGCAGACTATGAAAGTGCTGCTTTTCAGTCTTTTTAAATAAATTATTTTTCAGAGAAAACTACAACAGAGACAAACATCCCATTCATTTGTGCTTAGGTTGCTAATTTGATTTCCCCAATAATAGTATTTAGTTTTCTTCAAGATTCCTGAAATACTGGCGTGGATGAAATATCAGTGTTCATAAATTTTCAGTGGTGCTTCAGTTGTGTTTTCAAATAGGACTCAGCTGGATCCCCAAATAATTATGTTGAAACTAGGCATTTAGAAAGCTTTGGGGCATGAGTGAGAATTAGGTTTAAATAACTTCAGCTTACATTCTTCTGAAAATTATATCCAATGCCTTTTGTACAGAAACAGTTTTGAACATACTAATGGCAAAAGGTCATCTCTTTGCTGGTGACCCTTGGCGATCACGTCTGATACAGCCGATTATCCAATTACCATGATTAACCAATCCTTATCTCTCTATCACTACTTCTCGGTCAGGTGAATAATAATTTAAAATGATGCTTTTTCGCCCGAATGAAGTGTCATTATCATTAGTTAATTCATAGTTGAAATGAGTAGTAGAATTCTGAATTTACTGAAGACTTTTTATGTATTGTCCATGCACACTCTTTACAATATATTAATCCACATCCACAAGGACTGCATTCAGCTGAGTGCAACAGCAAAGCTCCAGTTAAGGGTTATGTGGCTTGTTTGTGATCTCTCTTTTTTTTCTTTTTAAACCTATAGGTATGGCAGATTTTAATTACCTTCACACAAATTGCTTTGAAGTTACCGTGGAGGTAGGATGTGAAAAGTTTCCTTTGGAGGAAGAACTGTTTACAATCTGGCATGAAAACAGAGACGCCCTTCTGAATTACATGGAAATGGTATGGCTCTGCTTTTACAGACCTTTGTGCTTACAGTTTTTTGTCTTCATGCTTTGTCAATATTCGTTTCTTTAGCCTTTACTTGGTTAGTTATTGAGATGGCACCGAACCAACCATCACACTGCACCAGGAGCCCTGGTGCCTCAGTTTCTCTACCAGGACATGTGGATAGTATTTTACCTATCTTGCAGGAGGGATAGAGATTGAGGACTGTAAAGGCCTTGAAAACAGTGAAAAAGGGAATTGTCTGTAAATGCTTTGTGCAACATTATAAATCATCTGTCCAAACTTTAATGCCAGAGAAAACCCATGTATTCAGAAAAAATATGAATCACAGAATCATAGAATCATTTAGATTGGAAAAGACCTTTAAGTCTGGCCTTTCTCTTGAAGAATAAACAAGCGAGATCTGCTTTTCAGAGAGCTTCTTGGAACTTTTTCCTTTCCATATTCCATGTTTGTGGCCCAAACCCTACTGCATGGCAGCAGGAGATTTAGATTCAGCTGAAATGGGGAGGTTCTAAGTATCTTGCTAGAAATGCTGTTTCCACACATTTCAGACTGATTTCTTGATCAAAGTAGGTGAAAAAGATCTGAAGCCTGATCTTCTAAAGGAACAACTGTATGTCTGTGAGCATGAAAACATGCCATTTAAAAGTCATTCTTAATAATAAGTTTAAGCTCAGCAAAGCCAAATACCTCACTGACAATAAGTAAGTGAACACAGAAACAGAAGGTGCTCATCTTTCTCTCAGCCATTAGTAGATTAGCTTTCTGTCATGCCTTATTTTGATAGAGTATGCAGTAATTTAAAATTGTTAGGAGTGTTTTTATGGCCTTTCTAAGCAACCTCTTGCTACTTGTGGTAAGTATTATCATTCAATAAAGTCTACAGTACAGACCACCAAACTCATTTCATTTTACAGCCGTCTGATGAAAATGAGTTTTAGTGAATCCAAATGGAGCTGGGTTAAATCCATATATATTGCAGTTGAAGTCTTCAAGATGTAAAGATTTTTATAGTGTGAGATACTGTAGAAGTCTATGCTGGAAAAGCTTTTTGAGTAAATGCAGGACAGTAAGCAAAACAACTTTGTAGATAAGGGTGACTGAATTACTCCTGATAAGGATTAAGTCTGCCATAACCAATTCAAACTTTTCTTATTCTGATATACACCAGGCTGTTTGGTGTGTGTACAAATCTACTTGGCTTAACAGGCAAAAGTAGAATTCATTTTCATAAACGTTGATCTCTTCTCCCCATCGAAGTGGTATCAAAACACCCTCCTAAACTTATGTGGCACAGACTTGAGGCAAAACAAAAAATAGTATATTTACTAAAGCAAAACAAATAAACTTAGTTAAAAAAGGTCAATTTTGTCATTTTTATCCCTCCATGTTGTAATTGCAAAATTATTATTGAAGTTGGATGAGGTCATACTATTTTGAGTATGTCTACACTGTGAATTAAATTTGGGCCTGAGATGAATCTTCTGACCAGATTTACCCACTATCCATATGATAAATCCTCAAGTCCATGCTGAAAATCAAATTGCAGCGCTTCATCATAATAATTCTTAAGGGACAGTTTTCAAGTCCTTATACTGAGTCTTTCCTAAGATCCCCCAGTGAATAGCTCCACTCAGTACAGACCAGCTATTTAACAAGAGCAGTGACAACACAGCCTTACCTTAAATAAACAATGGCTGTCACAGGACTAGACTTTTTTTTTCAGCTTCATATTAAGAATTACTGAAAAGTTGGATATTTTAATGTTTACTTTTAAACATCTCTATAATCCAACAGAAAAGCAAATACATTTTTCTGTAGTTTTGGTGTTTTGTACTTTACTCCTCTTTTGTGACAAAGGATAATGGGGAAGGAAAAATGAGAGGAAGAGAAAGAAAGGTGGAGGGAAGTGAAATAAAGAGCAGTTGAAGTTGATCATGACAGTTCAGGGGAAAAATCAAAATGACATTACTTTTCATTTAAAAGTGTCATATAGAATTTCCAATAGAAAATGTTTTCATTTTGGAAGGTTGCAAAAAGAGAAACTTAAGAGGTTTAATGTTTAAATATTTAGATTTTTTTCCTGTTTTGTTTTGTTTCATTGAACTTCAAATATAGTGAGCTGTTTGTGCACCTCCTTGTATGACAGAATCCACATCGCTCTTTAGTTTGTCACCAAGCACATTTGTCATCAGCTCAAGCAGCTGGGTTCTGTGCTTGTAGAGAAGGGGAAAAAGGATATTATGCACACTGCTGTCATGACATTCTGATATGAAGTGAAGTGCAGGCAGCAGACCGATGATGAGTCCCAAGTAGCTAAAGAATCCCTTCACCAATTCCTGTTCACTGATATTAAATAAGAATATGAACGAAGCAATAATTTAATTAAATTTTATGTATGGATTAATGTACATCAGTGGATTTGAGAATTATTTTTAAAATATTGTGTTAAAGATTGTACATTAAATAATACTAATACAGAAGTATCCATCTTATTCTGATTTTATTCTTATGCTTCCACTCTGTTTTAAAATAGTAACAGTGTGTCTGTCACAGGACAGTTGTTCAGTTTTAGTTCTTTATCTCTAAGCAGTTTGGGATCCTTTCAGATGCAGTGAAAGAAAATGAAAACAATATATTTCAACTAATATTGAAGATCGGGTTTCCTTATACAACCCACATTAATTGATTCTACTGTCAGGATGGCAGTGTATTGTTTGATAAGTGGTACTGTCTGAAAGCTAATAATTCTGCTTGAGTCTGATTTATTTCACGTATCTTTTAGTGCTGCTTCATGTTGAATTAACTTCACTCATAGCACCACTGATGCCTTATCATTGTGTATAGAGCATCAGATTGTTGTTTAAAGACTTAACTTTTCATTTCTTTGTGGTTCTGGGTCTAGGGCAGACATTCAGAAACAGTCTTTAAATACTGTGATGAGATCATGAGGTGACAGTGATCTGTGCAGAGAAGGGTTGCTCAATGGAGAGCCACATACCTAGCCCAAAAAAGCTCTCGTTCAGTTATCCCTTCCCCTCAGCCCCCTTGGACCTCCCAAAATAGAGGATGTGATCTGAAAGGGCCATTAGCACCCAACAGCCTCTACAATGGGTTGAACCTCTTGAAAGTTGTTTGCTCTCTACAGAGGTTTCCTTGCAGAAGATGAGGACATGGTACTGAAATAAATGACTCCCATCTGACTTTGCTTTGCCAGGTTCATCGGGGGATAAAAGGAATTGTGTCTGATAAGTTTGGCAACCCCATAAAAAATGCTCGTATTTCCGTCAGGGGCATCCAGCATGATGTCACTACAGGTAACGTTTTTAGTTGGAGCTTTTTCCTGGGGCAGAGGGAAAGCACTAATAACTTAACCTGTGAAAGTCTTGTTGTATTTGATAGAAGTGGCACTTTAATGGAGAACTGAAGGCTCAGCTGTGGGTTTGTTCCTAGAATAATGAGATAAGACATATCAAACTGGCTGTCGAGTCTGTCATGTCTCTGGGATGAAATAGTCCTTGCCATTAAAACTTCCACCTGGAACTGTGTGCTGTCCATCAAAGCCAATGTGTCTGCAATGAGATTCAGAAATCCACCTTTATGTTTCACATTTGGGGGAATGTGGCAATAGCCCTGCTCAGGAGCCATAACTCAACACGTGGAGGTGCAGAGCCCTGACAGAATAAGTTAGTTGAAATATTGTGAGACTTTAGAGTAGGATCCACACTGACTTTAACTGGAATAACTGCAGTGTTTGAAGGGTATGCAACCTTTTTTGTTCATGTGGAAAAGCATAAATATATGCAATTTTTGGACAATAGTTATATCAGATGCAAAAAAAACCAGAACATTGAATTATGTTCACTTTATACCTGTTGCCATCTGGTAAATACATATTGAGGCATATGCAACTGTTAATTTTCACAGTCATAAACTTCTTTGCTTTTAGGCTCTCACTGGAATCAATGCTCTCATTTTATTATTGATTTCACTGAGAACTGGGTAGACCATGGAAGTGCAAAACAGAAGACGTGAATGGTAGCATTTTGCTCTAATGATAGTTGTTGAATCAATTTGGAAAGCCAGAATGGTTTATAATGTAGTGAATGCTTTCCAGCTTTCAAAAAAACCTAACATTAGAGGGGATACAATAGTGGAGATGATACAGATTCTTGAGGCTGGTGGGAGACTGGCATGAATTAGGGTCTTTTTCAAACTTCTTCACAGACAATGGCTTTCCATTGGCAGTGGACCTTTAAAGAATTAAGAATTAAATAAAAAAATGTGTTTACATCGAAAGAAAAGAGAATGTTTGTTCTTGAGTTAGGTGGGGTTAAGAATGGCATATGATTAAAAAGTCTTAATTTCAGTGTTAAAGAAGACTGAGAAATTCCATGAGAAAATACCATTAATGCAACATTAACTGAGCTAAAAAACTTACCATTCAAAATAAATGAAATATAAAATGAAGAATAAATATTCTGTTTTAAAACTCCCTCCTTTTGCCTGCAGGCTCTAATCTTCAGCTGGAGGAAATTTACACCCGTTTTACACTAATGGCAATTTATACCAGCTGCAGCTCCAACTCCATAGTCTGATGTGCTATAATGTCTGTGAAGTAATTGAATGTAATATAATAAAAGCAGGGGTTTCTTAGCTGCTTAGACATGCTATAAATATATATTGCAGCCTGGATTCTGCTTTCACTTTCTTAAGTTTCATATAAATTCACTTGATTTCTTTGGAGCTATTCCTTGTACCCCTGGGAAAGCAGCATGAAGGAGAGATTTCCTTCCCTGGGATACAGGCACAGCAGTTACTAACATTTTGTATGTGAATTTTACCTCATTAGCTCCCAAAAGCCAGACTTTCACAGGTGGAGCCTCTTTTTGTCATTCAAGTGTTTGCGTCTGAATTTTTTTCAAAATCTGAGTTGCCCGGACTCCGAGATCTTTTGAAAACCTGTCCCTTAAATGCTTGTACACGCGTGTGTATGTGAGTGTGTAACTATGAATGGTGCAAGACGAAAAGCTAAGCTCAGTTTTGTTGTGCCTTTATCTTTCCTAAGCTGCTGATGGAGACTACTGGCGACTCCTGCCTCCGGGGACATACATAGTCAGTGCCCAAGCGGCGGGATACAGCCGGGTGATGAAGAGGGTCACCCTTCCTGCCAAGATGAAACGGGCTGGGCGAGTCGACTTTGTATTGCGACCTGTTGAGGCTTGGCCCAACAAGCTCCTCCGCCGCTCAATGGAAGACATGTATGACCCGTACGACCCGCTGGAACTTTTTGACCCTCACGCCCAGCACGGGCAGCCTGAGGTTCGAGGTGGGTCACCACCAGGCAGGGAGAAGCCCTGGTGGTGGTCTTACTTCAGCTCTCTAGACCTGCACAAACCTCTGTGGCTGCTCAAGCAGCACTGAAGGGCTGAAGGGCATCACGGTGCTCGGCTCACCTCGCTCTGCTGCCCTTCCACCCGACTCCGGACACCCTCACTGCTCTTGGCGATATTTAAATCTGTTTCATTTGAAAATACAATGGTAATTCGAGCACGCTTACTTCTTTTGTTTTCTCTTCACACAAAACTGAGTATGCTCAAGTGTTTTTGTATATTAAAAACAATGGTGCACACCCGTTCAAAGGCCAGGTTTTATGTAGTGGGGTTTTTTTTTTTGGTAATGCTATGTACTTATGCCCATGTAGTTAATCATCTCATTCATTATTTATTAGGTTCTAAGTACCTGCAGGAAAATATTCCTGATCCTTTAATGCATTTTTGTACATCTCTTAACACATTAATGACTATATACTAAAAACAACTTTCAGAAACATTCAGAAAACACTTTTCCTCTTTTTATATCGTTTTAGCATATTAAGTTCAGTTCATTAATTCTTCTAATACAGCTTGCAAGGATTTTTTAAAAATCCATTATATGATGTCAGCATTGATTTTGGACAGAAAAAAGAAAATCTTTAGGACTTACGAATTTGGAAATAAATCTGCATCTGAATAAGTAACGTTCAGTAGAATGGGTTGCTCGTAGGCAGGTCAGTATCAATGAGGGATCATTAAATAATAATGTATTTTCCCAAGTAAAGTTTCAGAAGTTATCCTTTGAAGACATATGTTTTTAAAGTGTTAAATCCTTACAGTCTTTCTCCTTTGAAATCTCTTGCACCATGAGCAGAAAAGTGCTTGGAAAGTAAACTCTGTTCCAAGGAGTCTGAATAGGCAATATTTATCATATTTAAATGTTAATATAATGTCTATGTTTTTAAGCTGTTAAGCAAATAGATTTTTAATCTATTTCTGCAAAATACCAAAAAAATATTTTAGTGCTGGAAATACATACATCCTATGACATAGAAAAATACATGAGATAATTCCTGAGGAATTCAAGTTAAAATGTGACATGTTACACTAAGGTGTTAACATCATGCAGTGTTCTGAGTCCATGTGATTGTTAATGGAATTTGTAGACATCAAAGAAGTCATGAACTTTTTTCCAAGATAGTTGAGTAAAGCTCGGTGAATAGCAGTCTTGCAAGATGCTATCCTCTCTCAGACATCAGACGTAAGGGTTTCTTAGGGGGATTTTTAAAAGTATCCTTAATTTTGATAAAATATGTAGGCCTACACTTCCGAAACCACAACGTGATCTTAGGTAAAGAAGCCCACATTGCATGAATCCTGTAGCTCATGTGCACAGATCTCATACTATAATTGCCTAAGAAGACCCAAGAGATGAATGATCTTAATTCTGCAACCAGATGCTGCACATGCCTAAATACCTTATTCCCAGTTGTAATCTGATTGAAGCTAAGAGTCTGTTACTCATGAGCTGGAATGTCTGCAGGACTGGAGACTATACAAAAATGAAAGAAAACAATTTCATAGCAATAACAAAAAGCTATTATATGGGAGTGAATGAAGTGCATGCACATGTTCCTTGCCCAGGCTTGCCAAGTTAAAGAAACTTTGAATCCTAAATATGCCAAAGACAAGCTAGCAAAAGACACACCTCCAGACTTTATTTTCAGTAATAGGTATTGCTACTGTTTTATGTGATTTTTTTTTCTTTTTTTTTTTTTGAAGCTGCCGTCCTTGTGAAAACTGTGGTAAAGCTAACAAAATCAGAACAATATGCCAAATTGCTGGCTATTAACC